TTGCCCAGGCTGGCCTCGACCTCCTGGCCTCAAGCGTTCCTCCCGCCTTGGCTTCCCAAAGTGCTGGGATTGTGTTTGGAGGGTTGTTTTGCTTCTCTCTTAATTTCCATATAGTTTCTTTAAAAATATGTGCCATTTCTCTTGGATGAAGCTGGAAACCATCATTCCCAGCAAACTAACACAGGAACAGAAAACCAAACACCACATGTTCTCACTCATAAGCGGGAGTTAAACAATGAGAACACATGGATACAGGGAGGGGAATATCACACACTGGGGTCTGTCTGGGGGTTGGGAGGAAGGGGAGGGAGAGCATTAGGACAAATACCTAATGCATGTGGAGCTTAAAACCTAGATGACAGGTTGATAGGTACAGCAAACCACCATGGCACATGTATACCTATGTAACAAACCTGCACGTTCTGCACATGTATCTCAGAACTTAAAGTTTAATGAAAAAATAAAAAATAAAAATATGTGCCATTTCTCAGATGGGTTTAGTGGAAGAGGGTTTTTTTTCCAGGCTCACAAGAACTCAGGATCAGAAAATACTTTTATGCAGCTGTGGACTCAGTTGAAGGTTTAGGAGGGAGCTGGTGGAGTCGTGGTGGAGACAGAAGTGCAAATAGGGAGGCCAAGTGCTTTGTCCTAAAACTGGCACTTTAGACCTGGGGTTCTCAGCCTTCTAGTGGACTTGTTAAAAAACAGGTGGCTGGCACAGACATATGAAAAAGTGGTTAACATCACTAATCATCAAGGAAATGCAAATCAAAACCTCATGAGATATCATCTCACCCTAGTTAGAACGCGGGTCATCAAAAAGACAAAACATAATAAATGCTGGTGAAGATGTGAAGAAGGGGAGGAACTCTTACACGTTGTTGGTGGAGATGTAAATTACTACAGCTAGTATAGAAAACTGTATGGAGGTTCCTCAAAAAACTAAGAACTACCATACAATCCAGCAGTTTTGCTACTGGGCATATATCCTGATATAGTTTGGCTCTGTGTCCCCACCCAAATCTCATCTCGAATTGTGATCTCCACATGTCAAGGGAGGGAACTGTGATCCTCACATGTCGAGGGAGGGAGGTGATTGGATCATGGGGGCAGTTCCCCCATGTGTACTCATGATAGTGAGTGAGTTCTCATAGATCTGATGATTTTATAAACATCTGTCATTTTCTGAGCTTGGACTTATCTCTCCTGCCGCCATGTGAAGAAGGTCCTTGCTTCCCCTTTGCCTTCCACCATGACTGTAAGTTTCCTGAGGCTTCTCCAACCAGGTGCAACTGTGAATCAATTAAACCTCTTTCCTTTATGAATTACCCAGTCTCAGGTAATATCTTTATAGCAGTGGGAAAATGGACTAATATATATCCAAAGCAATTGGAATCAGTATAGCAAATGGATACCTGCACCCCATTTATTGCAATGCTATTCACAATAACCAACATATGGAATCAACCTAAGTGTCTGTCAACAGATGAATGGGTAAAGAAAATGTGGTGCCCGGGCGCGGTGGCTCAAGCCTGTAATCCCAGCACTTTGGGAGGCCGAGACGGGCGGATCACGAGGTCAGGAGATCGAGACCATCCTGGCTAATGCGGTGAAACCCCGACTCTACTAAAAAAAATACAAAAAACTAGCCGGGCGAGGTGGCGGGCGCCTGTAGTCCCAGCTACTCGGGAGGCTGAGGCAGGAGAATGGCGTGAACCCGGGAGGCGGAGCTTGCAGTGAGCTGAGATCCGGCCACTGCACTCCAGCCTGGGCGACAGAGCGAGACTCCGTCTCAAAAAAAAAAAAAAAAAAAAGAAAATGTGGTACATATATACAGTACACTACTATTTAGCCATAAAAAAGAATGAAATTCTTTTTCATGTTCATTCATGGCAACATGGATGAACTTGGAGAATATTATGTTAAGTGAAATAAGCCAGGCACAGAAAGATAAATACTGCATACTCTCACTCATATGTGGAAGCTTAAAAAGTTGAGCTCATGGAAGTAGACAGTAGGATAGTGGTTTCTAGAGGCTGGGAAGGGTAGTGGGGAGGAGGGTAGCCAAAAGTTGGTTAATGGATAGAAAAGCACAGCTAGAAAAGAGGAATAGTGTTTAGTGTTCTATAGCACTATAGGGTGACTATAATTCACAACCATTTATTGTACATTTTCAAATAGTTGAGAGTAAATTTTGATTGCCCCCAACACGAAGAACTGATAAATATTTGAGGTGATAGATAAGCTAATTACACTGATGTGGTCATTACACATTGTATAATGTATCAGAATATCACACTGTACCCTTGTAAGTAAGTACAATTTGTATTAAAATAATTAGTTAAAAACAGTAAAAGTTAAAAATAATAAGAGAAAAAAAAAACAAAAAACAGATGTTCCTCCAGGAATTCTGATTCAGAAGGTTTTGAATGGGGACTGAAAGTTGGCGCTTCTGACAAGTTCTCAGGAGCCACTGCTGAACTGGGGACCACACTTTGAATAGCACTGGTCTGGGCCTCCAGAGAAGGGAGAGGGACTTCAAATACACAATGCCCACCTCACTCCTCTAACTCACCTTACTCTCTAAAATTTATTTTGTACCTCTCACTTGTACCATATGATAGAGTATTTCAATTTATAGTTTATGTTATTTTTCCATGAGTACGAGACTCATCTCCTACATTAAAAGTCGTAGGTTCATGGAACATGGTGTTGTGTCTCATTTAATAATGCCTGTTGGCTGGATGTGGTGACTCATGCCTGTAATTCCAACACTTTGGGAGGCGGAGGTGGGTGGATCACCTGAGGTCAAGAGTTTGAGACCAGCCTGATCAACATGGAGAAACCCCATGTCTACTAAAAATATGAAATTAACTGGGGGTGTGGCGCATGCCTGCAATCCCAGCTACTCAGGAGGCTGAGGCAGGAGAATCGCTTGAACCCGGGAGGCGGAGGTTGCAGTGAGTGAGTGGAGATCACACCATTGCACTCTAGCCTGGGCAACATGAGCAGAACTCTGTCTCAAAAAAAAATTAAAAAGTTGATTGGCTGATTGGCTGTTAAGACAGATGGTCAAGGTCTTGTTATTGATCTTCCATATATCAATCCAGGTCTTCAGACATAATTTGCAAGAGTAAGAGTCAAGTTTTGGAGTCAGCTACATCTGGGTTCAAAGCTGGGCTCATCTGGCACTAGCTCAGTAACTCCCAGAAAGGCATTTAGCTTAGGAGTGATCCTGGATTCCTTTTTTTCCCCCTTAACCCTTACATCCAATCCATTATTAATCTGATTGGCTCTATGGTGTACTTTCAAATCACTGCATGGGTCAGCTGTTGCCTCCTCAGAAAGGACTTCCCGGGAAACCCTGTCAGAAGTAGCTCTGGTCTGACATTCTTTTTGATATCGCCTTGTGCATCCTCCTCCTGGAATTTAGCACAGTCAAAAATTATTTATTTTTTTACTCTTTTTTGAAACACAGTCTCACTTTGTCACCCAGTCTGGAATGCAGTGGCTCGAACACAGCTCACTGCAGCCTCAA